ATAAATAATTTGTTTAAAGTTGGCGTACTAAATGAACGGCTGATAGCTATAAAGAAGCTAATTAAGGCCAACTATCTATAAAGAGTTAGTATGAAATAAAAATATATGATACAATATTAAAAAGGTTTAAGGTATAATGTTCTAAATAAAACCTAACCCAGCAATAAATTTTTTACACAATCTACAGTCGCATTCTATAGGGTGTGCTCTTAATTCTTTTTTAAATGTTGCCAATGATTGGGACTCTCTTATACTGTGAGGTAGTGTTTGCCACAGTTTTGACATAAATATCTCTCAGTTTCTATACCATAAGAAGTTGTCCTGGCTTTTGGAATGCAAAGATTATTTTTAGTTCGCAAATCATAATGTACATTTCTTGTTTCAAAAATCTCACTCATGAAGCTAGGGTTCAGGTTATGTTTGGTTTTGTATATTTCTATCATCAAGTACTGTAGATTGCGTTGGTGAATTGATACTGCATTATCCAAAGTCAGCAATGCTTCGTAGTCAGCATGACTGTCTTTATAAACAATTCTGAGTGCTCTTTCGTGGATTTTATTTACTTTAGCATTCAGACATCTGTCATGGAACATCCAAATTAGGGGGCAGTAACTAAACTGAGCTTTTATGAAGCTGTTCATTAGGAGACGCAGTTTATCAGAACCCATAAATGGCGAAACTCTAGCAAGAGCATGCAGTTTTGGCTGGCTCTTTTGCATAAATTTGAGACGTGACTTTTGAAATTAAGATTTTTATCTATTATCACCCCTAGCAGTTTTTCTTCAGAGCTTTCTTCAACAATGGCCTCACCGATTTTGATCTTAAAGTTCTTAAATTTTGAAAACGGTTCGGAGGACGAAGCTGGTAGGACGTGGCTTTTATGCGCTCTAAGAAATACTCTTTTCATTGCAAATTCACTCATATTTCAAATGGCAACAGACATTGAAACTGTTATGGAAGCTACAGAAATTCTAAGGAGTACAAGCAAAGGAAGACATATGGATTCAATCGCTAGCTTCTGCTTGTCGAAACATGGTTGGGACAAAACAAAGACAGTCGCCATCTTGGATCAAGCGGTAAACGAGGGGAAATTATACACTACCATGTCCCACAACAAAGTTTCCTATCGTATCAAAGACCAGGAAAATATAGACACTGAGAATGAAGATTTTAACCCAACCTCCGAAAGAGATTCTGAATGGCCAAAGTCGAAGGGTTATGTAAACGTCGGCGACTTTAAGAGGATCCAAGCAGAACTCGAGGAATTCAAAAGATTCTCACATGGAGAAATTCTACTATTAAAGGCCCAAACTGCTAATAGACCAAGTATAGACCCTTCTGAAAGTGATAGGGAAGCGTTGCTAAAATGTCTTCAAGACCGCATTATCTCTTTGGAGCAGCAGCTGTTTGACAAACAGAAAATTATTTAAGGTCTGTTGGAAGGGCCTAGATTTGAAGTCAAAACAATTGATGGAAGCAAAAGCTGTCTTGACAACGAAATGAGACCTTCTCCCAGCGGAATACGGAAATTGGCAGGAAAAAGTGAAGCACATGTGAGTCCAATAATAACAAGGAGCCTGACAAAGAAGGCAGAAACTGAAAGAAAACAAGCCAAAGATATTTATGGGCATGACAAGATATCCCAAAGGCCCAGGTACAAAGTTAAAACACCAAAAGTTGCATATTCCCAAGTATCAAAGGACGTTGCAAAATCTGCAAGCAGAAATCCCTTAGCGTGGCAAAATCGCTTTGCCCTTCTGTCAAGCGATGATGAGTCAAGCGATTTGGAAACATCCAAAAACCATACTCAAACTCGCAGTACGGAAGCCAGCGAAGTGCAAACAGCAAAAGAGAGAAGGACAACAAAGAAAATCCAAAGGAGAGCGGAGAACAAAAGGAACAAGAAGAATATCCTTATTATTGGCGACTCCATACTTAAGCACTTGGATGGGAGAAAATTGAAAGGATCTCTGCGAAATGGGCAGAATGTCTATGTCAAATCTTTCAGCGGAGCAAATGTTGAAGACATGGCAGATTACTCAAAACCACCAATGAAAAAAAACCCAGACATTGTCGTTCTTCATGTTGGGACCAACTCGCTGGGAACAAACAAGCCAGCTGATGAAATTGCATCTGAAATCTGTGATCTGGCAGCTGATTTAAGAAACGGAGCAAATGAAGTTGTTGTATCAGCTATTATATCTCGAGGTGACGATTCAACGTTAAATACAAAAGCAAAAACTGTAAACGAAAAATTGAAAACCCTGTGCGGAGAAAATAGTTTAGATCTCATCGAGCATCAAAACATCGATACAACTAAGCACCTAAATGGAAGTGCTTTGCACCTCAATAGAATGGGCACAGTCCTTCTTGCCAATAACCTTATTAAATATCTCAAAGCTCAGTGACGTGATGATGGGACTCATACAGCTAAGTACATTTGTCCTAATTTAGAAAATCAAAATACCAATGAAATTGCTAGTTCTGATACCGAAGATATTAACCCCCTTGCCAATCTATCAACTATTAGGAACAAAAACAAGAGAGGCCTAATTGTGGCACATCTAAATATAAACTCAATCCGAAACAAAATAGAGGATCTCAAAACCCTGATTGCAAAAAATGTTGACATCCTCGCAGTTTCTGAAACCAAATTAGACGAATCCTTTCCTACTAATCAGTTTTTAATTGATGGTTTCAAAAAACCCTTCCGTTATGATAGAAATACAAACGGTGGTGGGATTCTGGTTTATATCAGAGAAAAAGTTCCAGCAAATGAAATTAAACTGGTAAACATCGCCAATTCAATTGAATGTGTATTAACTGAAATTAATGTGGGCAAGAAAAAATGGGCATTGATCAGTACCTACCGCCCCCCTTCTCAATGTGAAAAATTTTTCTTCGCAGAGATGGGCAAAGTGCTTGACCAACTTACACCTCGATACGAAAACTTCGTCATTATTGGAGAATTAAATTCGGAAGAGAAAAATTATGAAATTAGCAATTTCATGGATATCTATGGATTAAAAAATCTAATAAAAAGTCCCACTTGTTATAAATCTGCTGACAATCCCTCTTCCATTGATATGTTTCTAACGAATAAAACCTCTGGTTTTCAAAACACCACGACAATAGAAGTGGGATTGTCTGATTTTCATCTAATGATACTAACAGTGTTAAAGAGTGGTTTTGTAAAAAGAGGTCCAAGGATTGTGACATACCGAGACTACAGTAAATTTGATCCTATAAAGTTTCGCAGTGACCTTAGAAGCAATCTAGCTAAGAGCAGCGAAGCATACTCTGAATATGAAAATTTTAATTCTGTAGTCGAAGAAGTATCATATCAAACCATTCAAGTTTTCAAAGCCGCAAAGTCAAAACTAATGCTATCCATCAAAAGCACGTCCATTACACGTTGCGAAGAGACAGGTTACCCAATCGAGTCTGACCTACTGTTATACAAGTTTATTATACAACAAGTGGACCTAGAGTTGATCGCAAGTAATGTTCAGGTTTGGGCGCTACGCCCGCGCGCACAAAAAATGTCAAATGGAAATCGGCCTTAAAACATAGAGTAAAGCCTAGGCGCCATAAGCCACATAGGTAATCCACCACTGTGTAAAATGATTATGAGATACCTGTTGTTGATGAAGACGTATTTCATGTAGTGGTTCCTATCCATAGTTGGCGTGGAAAAGCATTGATCGATGAGTATGACTGTGTTTTTCTGAGATTTACTCGAGTAGACTTCAAAGTGCATCCAGTCTCTCAGCTGAACACTCACAGGGTAATGGGAATGCATCGTTGAATAAGTGCGGTCAGTGTACATGACAAAATTGAAACTGAAGTTTCCATATCCAACTAGGAAGAGATCGGGGTTTTTTTGAGAAAAATAAAAACAGTTATTATGAGGAATGATGGAAAATTTTTATAAAATCATAGGTTGAAATATCAACTGCAAAATCACTTATTATGCTAAGTAGACCTACTTTGAAACAGGAAAGATCCTTTCTGAATGTCATCAAAGATCTATTTCTTTAATTTAAGAAATGAGGAGGCATATCAGTTGGAGAAATAAGGTCCTGAATTCTTCATTTTTAAAACATGAAGCCCTTCAGCTTGATTTACGTACTTTAACATAGATTGAATAGATTGAAACACGTGATCGATATTACATAAGTAGCACATATTAGGTCCAAGGATAGCAGCTTTGATTCATATACGAAAACTTTTTCAATGTAACTGAATGATGCGATGCACCTGATTGCGTCAGTAACTAAGGAATAGACAAGAAATGTTCATCACCCAGTGATTTGCCGTTACTAAATTAATGGAACGTTGTTATCATGATTGGTCAATTTGAGTGAAGCTAACTACCTGAAAGAAAATTTATCTTTAAAAAAATGGATCACCAAAACATATTACTGTCACCATTTGCTAGATACATTGCTGCAGTAGGAGTGCAGTGTAAATAGATGCTTTAAAGACAAAGGTGCATCCTAAATTGGTATATTTGATCAAGCACTGAAATTAATCTTACCTTCAGATCCAGTGACATTGGATATGGGTATGTACCTGTATGAGTTCCACGTACTACTGTATCCAGATTTGTCAAAATGGCAAGTAAATTTTACTCGCTGGTCAGGATCCCTTGTTATTGTACCAGAGATAGCTTTAGGTCTGAAAATGACTTCATTCTCGTACACAATGTACCTCGACGTCTCACTTCTAGTTGACCCACATGCGCCTGGTACACTACCAAGTATGATGTTGTAGCTGCTAATGGATGCTGAACAGGAGGTATCTCGCAATGTTATGCTTGAAAACAGGGATTTATCGTAGAAGGCTCGATCAAAGTCGATTCTCATATAGTTCGGAGTGCAGGAAACGACGGAACTTTTATCTAGTAATAAACAAAAAAAATTTTGATGTTAGTGCCATTGTATTTGTTTAGAAAAAGAGCATTGATTTTCTTTGAGTATATAGCAAGGAATGGGATTGAAAGGTGTATGCAAATTGTTGAGAGCAAGTGTTAGTTTTAGGTCAATGTCCTTGTGCAAGAGAGGAGAGTAAGGCGTATTCGTGAACCAAAGAAAGCCAGAGGTAAATTTAGGTCAATGTCCGTGTGCAAGAGAGGAGAGTAAGGCGTATTCGTGAACCAAAGAAAGCCAGAGGTAAATTTAGGTCAATGTCCTTGTGCAAGAGAGGAGAGTAAGGCGTATTCGTGAACCAAAGAAAGCCAGAGGTAAATTTAGGTCAATGTCCTTGTGCAAGAGAGGAGAGTAAGGCGTATTCGTGAACCAAAGAAAGCCAGAGGTAAATTTAGGTCAATGTACGCGTGCAAGAGAGGAGAGTAAGACGTTTTCGTGAACCAAAGGAAGCCGCGTGCAAGATTTAGGTCAATCTCCGCGTGCAAGTGAGGAGAGTAAGGCGTATTCGTGAACCAAAGAAAGCCAGAGATAAATTTAGGTCAATGTCCGCGTGCAAGAGAGGAGAGTAAGACGTATTCGTTAATCAAAGAAAGCCAGAGTTAAATTTAGTTTAGTGTCCGTGTGCAAGAGAGGAGAGTAAGACGTATTTTTTAATCAAAGAAAGCCAGAGGTAAATTTAGTTCAGTGTCCGTGTGCAAGAGAGGAGAGTAAGACGTATTCGTGAACCAAAGAAAGCCAAAGGTAAATTTAGGCCAATGTTCGGGTGCAAGAGAAAAGAGAGTAATACGTATTCGTGAACCAAAGAAAGCCAAAGGTAAATTTAGGTCAATGTCCGCGTGCAAGATAGGAAAGTAATACGTATTCGTGAACCAAAGAAAGCCAGAGGTAAACTAATTTCAATGTCCGTGTGCAAGAGAGGAGAGTAAGACGTATTCGTGAATCAAAGGAAGCCAGAGATAAATTTAGGTCAATGTCCGCGTGCAAGAGAGGGGAGTAAGACGTATTCGTGAACCAAAGAAAGCCAGAGGTAAATTTAGTTCAGTGTCCGTGTGCAAGAGAAGAGAGTAAGACGTATTCGTGAGCCAAAGAAAGCCAGAGGTAAATTTAGGTCAATGTCCGCGTGCAAGAGAGGAGAGTAAGACGTATTCGTGAACCAAAGGAAGCCAGAGGTAAATTTAGTTCAGTGTCCGTGTGCAAGAGAAGAGAGTAAGACGTATTCGTGAACCAAAGAAAGCCAGAGGTAAATTTAGGTCAATGTCTATAAGCACGAGACTAGTTTCCAGGAATCTCTGCTATAAGGAATTAGAGGAGAGGGGTAAAAATAGTATTTTATTGAAAAAGCTGTTGTTGAAAATGAATTCGGTATGGTTTATAATCATAGGCGTACGGGATGACTTTTTGCCCGAAAAATATAAATGTCCAAATATTTACCGCGAAAACTCTAACGCATCAAGCTGATAAGATGTTAATTAATTAGCATTTTTGTCTTAGCAAATTTCAAAAACATTATAATGTGTTTGAAAAGTTTTCGATTTTCATTATTAAAAGAAATACTAATCGCTTTCAAGGACCAAATATATCAATTATTTTATAGATATCTTTTATTAGAACACGATTTGAATAATGGCGTTCGATATCAATGAGTGCGACATTCTTAAGCCTTTGTCTCATGGTGTTGCGGAGATATGTCTTTATGCGCCTCAGTCAGTGGCTGATTTAAGGGAGTGGAACTAGAGGCAAGTGCCCCTTCCTCGCCAAGTTGATGCGAGTCTGGTGCCCTTTTTTGAAAATTGTGCGCCTCTTTTGAAGAATGAGAATCAGGTGGAAAAGTTTCAGAGACCTATAGGTTAATTTACTTCAAGGATTACCCCCTGAAAATGGATCATGTTTTGCTAGAAAAGTCACACTTGGGAAGTCAACAAGTCCTTTCCATAAAGTTGTGCTCTTTAATTCCTGCCTTCATTCAAAATGCTTTAATTTATTGCGCTCAAAAGTTGTTCAATCTTCATGTCATAATCAAACCAAATAGAACTATGAAGCATATTTGCGATAGAATCCTTGGTTCCCAGTCGATGTTGTAAATATCCCAGAGCCATTTTTTGGCTATCTCTAGAATGTCATAGTTTAGTTGCATAACTTTTCTGCCACCAACCATAATGGTCGCCTTCATCAAACCCTGAACAATCAATGTTACAATTTGCAAAAATGACGTACTATTGAATTCTAGGTGCATTCATTAAAGTACTGTCTAACTATACAGCCATACTCCGATTGGAACTTAAACCAAAAGCGGCAAATTCTCTGGGCCCCTCTAAACTCGACTTCCCGGTAAGGAAAACGCACAAGTCAGCCCCTTTTGTAGAGTACTCAAGCGACTCAAGCAGGGTTGGAGGCATCATACAAAGCGGAGCAGCGAATGTTCCGCTGGAACATTTATAAATAAGAGAAATTTAATAAGAGGACTATAAGTCATACTAAGACTATATATCATTTTTTGGCAAAATTATTGTGAAAATTTCCTTAGAAAGTGAAAGGAGAGCCTTCTGTCAGTTGTATACAACGTACTCTCGTCAAAAATTTCTGAACATTTTTCAGCGCCCCCACTATCAACTGCCCCTTTTCTAAAAGTTTCTCTTGATCCGCCCCTGGTCTCAGTGGGCTGACTGATCGTTCTGCTGAACATTATGCTGCTGGCATAGTTGTCAGAATCTGCATCACTTCAGCAAAATGGGACCTAAATTCGAAACATTGTCATCATGCATGATTTTCAGCACTTCACGCACTTTTATTATTAGAATAAGATGCTTATTTTTGTGTTTATTGAACAGTTTCTACTACATTTCTAGAAGGTCCGAATCAATTTAGCAAAAGGAAGAAACCTCTGATGCCTTCTGTGACAGGCTTAGTATTCACGCATACATAATGTTCTGGTCATACACCCAGTCGCGTATAGATTTCTCCCAATTGACCGTGACCACTTGAATTTTTTTAGCTTAGAGGTTCATAAACATGTTTGAAAAGTAGTTTTTTTCTCCTTTGATCGCCCAATTCTGTACAGCGTTAACAAAATTAAGAATAAGGACAGCAAGGTACAGGGTTCTAATATTATCGAAGTAATTCTTGTTCAGAATTTCTAGAAGGCTATCAAACGGATGACATAATTCAGGAGAAAATCTTGATTAATATTAAATAATTATCGCAATAAAAAAACTTGGAATGATTCAAGATTACCTTCAACCCCACAATATCTCAAGCTGCACGTTGGAACACTATCCAGCCAGTACACATGAAAAGTGCCGCAATTCCTTATCATGATTGACTTTGTGAAGGAACAAGAACAGGTATAATGACGAGAAAAGCAAACAGACCTTGCAACAACACCTGAAAATGGAAAAGGTTAACTTGGAATTAAAGATTTTGCCTGGAAAACAAACACCTTCGAGTTGGAACCTACTCGAATGGCATATGAGTAGAATTTTGATTTTAGGACTACTGAGTTCAAAACTGTTATATTTAGAGTCCAGTTATTGTTACTTTTTAGTTAATATAATTATTCAAGAGGAGCACGCTCTTGTCTGATAAAAGCTGAAGAATGGGGAGGATGACCAAAAAACAGCTTCATCTATCGTATGTCTATTGTTTTGAGAAAGTGCTAGCACCCCCGCCTCAAAGAAACCAAAGTGAATGAAAAAACCAAAACAAACAAATAAGTAACGTAATTAACGAAAATATCGCCGAGTAAGATGAATATATCAACATTTTTGCCTAAATATCTTTATATGCCTTGCATTTTTCTTTGGCTTACAAATATAGCACTTTGGAGGCAATTTTTATCGCCCGTTTATACAGCCCCCCTCAAAGAAGCCCACACCTTAAAACTATTTGCACTATCAAGCTCTAAAGAGGCCAACTTACATTACGTCAAAAGTGTCTAAAACAGTTTAATAATCGCCGTCATTAGGTCTTGCTTAATCTCCTTCTTTGGCCTCTTTTTATTAGAAAATGACCAATATTCCTGAAGAAGGGTACTCTCCCTGTCAAAATGTACTTTTTCTGACAAACAGTGGCACTTTCTTGGAAAAAGAGATTTTGATAAAATGAACACTTTTCTGATATGGAGGGGAACTTCCAACCTTTTTTATAAAAAGAGGCATTTCTTAAATTAAGTGGGTGCAAAGGCCCCCTGAGCCACCTGGCGTTTACGTCCTACAATGGGAGGTACTTCAAATACTTCGATGCCACCATTGCCAAATACTTCTTCTAAGGCATTCAACGGCTGGATCTACCTACCATCAGATACTGAGGGCAATGCTCCATTTGGAATCCATCCTTGATAAAACGAACCACATCTGTTTAAAGATCCACCAAGATTTTTTGGACAGGAATTCATCATTCTGTTGCCTGCATTACCCATGAACCGATACCAGCCAAACAGTTCTTTGTCACATCGATACAAGCTCCAATGAGTGAAAGTCACAGCACGGTCGTAATTTGCTAATACCTGGTAATATTTGCACCCATCTAAGGCTTGGATGCGAGAGGTAGTCTGGGGCAAAGCTGACGTCCGCAAAGAATATGCTGGGGTAGCAGACCTTTGGAATGTAACAGCAGTGCTAGGTTGTACATGTACTGAAGTTCCGTTAACAGTGCAGTTTGTCGTGTTGTTACCATAAATGGTGGTTTCTAAAAATGAGCAATCAGATTTAGGGTAAAAGTGTGCTTTTGATTCAAAAACGTCTTGAATGAAACATAAATGCAAAAATGAAACTTCACAAGAAGAAAATCTCTCCCTGCTTCATCAAGAAATGATTTAAATTGTTATGTCAAAAATTGAGACTTGGTGTTGGGCAAAACAAGGTTGGCTCGTGTTCTATAAGATTTTGGTGATAAAAGTAAAAGACCTTACTTTAAAAAATTCACATGAATTTATAAAAATTGGTGGGGCGACAGAAGTAACATAGACTCGATGGTTAAACTTTCAATTTGAACGTTTCGCTTGATTTCTGCTGACGGGCATTGCGTAGTTTAAGAGCTACTGTATGTGATGTTGTTCCTACCCCGCGTAGAGTATATGCGCACAATAAACTGCAATGAAATGCTGCTTTGTCGCTCGTAACGACCATATCCGTAGTTGTAAGCAAAATCCTCCACCATTATAGCCAGGGCGTACCAGCCATTGGAGTTGTATGGTGAAATTGATAACGTGCAGTTCTGCTTGGAAGAAAGAATAGTTTTTCAATAAAAAGCGGCTTGGCGGGTCATTAGTAATAAACTGCAATGAAATGTGATATCAACTTGAGAATAGAAAGCTGATTGTCCAGGGTCGCTGAGTGGGAGCAAAAATTACAGTGGATTAATTTTCGATGGAACAGATTTCGGTCATATTTTTCATATTTCGATGTAAAGTTCAGTGAGAACTTGAAAAATTTCGATGGAAAAAGAAACATTTCATTGTGTAAAGAAATGAAGCACTTTTCAGTAAGTTATTCCTATCTTTAATATAAAATTATCTGGAACGAATTCATAAGAGTTATCAAAATTGAATAACTTGATGTCAGCCCAATAAATAGAACTGAAGTGTGGGTAAGAATGTCATTTATTCTTTTTTAGAGGAGGAAATCTCTTATTTATTTCATTTTTTATGGTCCATGGAGGACAAATAACTGGAAGCGAAGTCAAATTTCTTAGATGTAGAGAGTGAAAGAGAAGAAAGTTAAAATGAGCTAGATAATTTATTTGTTGATGACGAAGGAGTGCCAAAAACTAAAAATTGATATGTATTGGATGTTAAAACAATATCAACGAAACTTTTTGTTAGCTTCAAAGTCCGTCGATGTAAAATGAAATTTTTCTAGCGTTTGCAAATTTCGGTAATAAAAAAATTCACTCGTCAGTCTTTTCTTTGTGTCTCGAAAGAATCATGCAGTTGGTTAAGTCCTTCGATCATCGATGAACGATGCCAGTTTCTGACTCTCCTTAGAGTTGATGCTGTTCTTTCACTAATAGTTTTGTTGCTGAAGACTTACTAAACAAATTTTTCTCGCCAAACTGTCAGTCTTCTTCACAGTTAATAATGTTTATTATAGGAGCTTCTGCTTTTTGCATCATGACCAAGTAAAAATTAAAGTAAATTTAAGTGAATGGTCCTCGAACAACAGCTAGATTTATGTTGTTTCACTTCTAAAGGCGGAACATGTGGCAGTAAAAAAGTATTCGCAATTCATTTTTCAAAGTAGGGCACTTAAACACTTTTTAAAATCAGGCAGGGGGTCTATGTCTCCGTGGCCCCCTGGCTCCAGCGGCCCTGTTATTGGATAATTGATAGAATGAGATATTTTAACAGCAGAGACCTTTCAAAAGTTTATGACAGCCCAAGTACTGCAAATTGTTATACCACCATTCTTGTTCCAGAAGTACTGACAGGAGGATGAATATGAAAGTCAACAATTATTCTTTGTGGTGTTTAAAGTCTACCCGAATATAAGCCAATATGTTAAAAAAAACTGCCAAAATTGATTTACATACTTTTTATAAGAACCAGATAAACTTGCTGAGATTTGATGTTATTGTTTAGAGAGTTTGACTTCATCGGACAATTAATGGAATAAGTTAGCATTTTACTAACAGACTGGCCGCTCTAGCCCAGGCAATGTGGGTGGGGGGGGGGATAAAAGGGGATCTAGGACCACGCCCTTTTGGACCACGCTCTTTTCCCCGCGAGGAGCATTCACCCCCATTGGTATCACCCCTTGTCTCCCAAAAAATGTCGTTTAATTTATCGTTAGCAATGGACGTTATTGCCTAAAAGGTAATGTCAAAGTTTTCAACTTAGAAATTTTACGAAATCGTGATATCACGAAAATACCTTCAATAAAGTGCTGCTAGTAAAAAAATTTCGAAAAAATAAACTTTCAGATACCTCATACCCCCTTCCCAAACTTTCTCATTGGATTTGCTAGAATCTCAAAAGCCAACTTTCTGAAAAAGTTGGGGACTAGCGCCCCTCCCCCGATTCTCCCCCCCCATCGTGGCTACGCCACTGCTAACAGGGTCCGTTCAAAGGCTGGGCATGTCCTTTTATTGTTCTCTCGCTCCCTGCAAAGTTATTCTAGGGGAGTTCTTATTTTCTTGGGTGTTCTTATATTCAAGAAAGAGTTTACATTTTGTTCTTTTTAACATTGCTTTCTTCAAAGTACAGAATAGAAGATCACGTGGGATTTGGGAATGTATGAAATTTTAAAGAAAATAGTAGATACGAATTTCCTGCTTAACTTATTAAGCGAATTTCTTGAAGTGTATCATGGCAAATAAGTCGTAGAAATGGATAGTCGTAAGAAATGACAATCAGGGTAAGCAATACTGGCGAAAAGCGTGAAACTGCAAAAGTTAATGACCAACACTCTTATATAAAAAACAGCAAAGAATATTTCAGTTGATCAATTTTACAAACCGTGTGTAAAGTAGAGTAAGGTATACGGGAATGGTATACACCTCCACCTTCAGTGAAATTGGCAGCATATCGGCATCGAACCATGTCTCCATCGGGATCAGATACGGGCAACTTGTAGTTCCTATTGGAGTATCTGTTGTGCTGTATCATGGGAATGAAATCGACCTGAGGTGGTGTATTGATCTGGTTAGAATTGCTTAAATAAGATCCGCGTTTCTTTAAGGAAATGACAGTTTCAAAGCTCCATGACGAACTTGGAGCTATAACCAACCCGCCGAGCCAGCAGCAAGATGAAGATCTAGTATGAAGATAACGATATTTTATCAAAGCTTGCAAAGAAAGGTTATCTCCGTAGGCTCAATGTCAACAAAATAAAAAGAAAATAGGAATTTTCAGCCGTGCCCGTTATGTGATCCAACTTCTTTTCTAGTTGCTGCAGCACGAGTGAATTTCTACGTACGAGCGAATCATATTTACTGCTATTAAACAAACAATTGATCAGGTAGGGGTAGATCATGAATTAAGAAAATATTAAATTTCTACCAGTTTGAAGCAAACAGTGAGCAAAAAATAGCAATTGACTGTCACTTACGATAGCTTATATGAATAGTTCTTATTCAGGTACAACGTGTGTGTATTGGAACCAATTGTAAAATCGTATTCGATGTTAAATCTTTCGCAAAAAAATCCAGCAAACACTGGTGGGTGGTAGTGTGGAAAGTTATAGCCATCGAAACCATATCGTAACGAGAAGGTTTTATGTTTGAAAAACTGGCAGCTTTTTATGGACGTATTGGTGCAGTAGGAATCCCCGTCACTTCTCCTCCATGACATGCCATATTTGAAATGAACCTGAAAAAGGCAGCAAAGTTAACTATAATTAAATAAAAATATACGGTTATAGATTTTAACAAAATATGACACCCGATAGACCTTTACTAAATGGCTATTTTGTTCTCTTGAAGGTCAATATCTGTGAAGTCGAATAAAAGACGTAACCTTTAGGATCTTGCTTTGATTTGATAATGTACTAGGGTACTATCTACCAAAGACATAAACAAGGGGCTAATTTTTAGGGGGGGGGGGAGGTGGAGGTCGTGGAAGGATGAAAATTCCAACTCTACTTGAGAATTTTTTCCTTCCACCTGTTAATCTACTGTACTTACTAAATAAAGTTGTCAAGTAATAACGTCACGAAAATATATTCCTAGTACTTTCGAAATTTGTTCCCACAACCTGAAAAAACATCATTAAATACTTCTAAACCTACAAAATCAGTTAACGGTATTACGATCTGGCTGTGATATGACCAGATCAGCACAAGCTCTGGCCCCACCAAACCTTTTTGATTTGGTTTCAGTTCACTCGCTAAGAAGCGTTGAGAATTTCTAGAAATGAAAATTTTTTTTTAATTGAATCTTTAGGATCTTGCTTTGATTTGATAATGTTCTAGGGTACTGTCTAAGTCTATATTGTCCTGGCATCTAGTTATATATAGCGTTTACGCAATTGCCTATTTCTATGTTATCAAATGACATGTGCATGATAACCAGATTCGCCTGCAATGAAAGAAGAAGCTCATTTCAAAAAGGCCCAAACTAAAAGTTCCAGGACTCATTTTCCTACGTCTCGCCTTCAAATTGTTGGTGCAAGCCTTAAAATTTTCGATCGCTTTGGTGATTGCTTTAGTGATGGCTTAAGTGATCTCATTCATAAACATATCTGGATTAGATTCCCTAACCTGTCTGTCCTACAAAAGTAAAACAAACTTGGACAAGGGATTTGATCTTAATATTATATTGCAACTCTTCAAGGTCACTTTCCGACAGTTAGCAGACTTCTTAAACCAGCTCTTCGACTTTATTTCATTCGATAAAAACTATACGCAATCTTCTGTTTACAACACTTTTATTCCATCTTCTTTTCTATGCAATTTATAAATCATTTTGTTTTGCCAGATAAATACAATCTAAGTAATTCACAAATCAACTTTATAATCATAATCCTGAGAATTTATGTCATAAAATGAATCTCAGTTGCATTAAGATCATCATCGTCTTTACTTTGCTTCCATGCATCAGACCTAACAAATTTGTCTGCTATTTCTGCAGGAATAACTGATAATTCAAGACATCAAATCAAGGAGTGTACACGAAATCAAAAGCTGGTAACAAGTAAGCTGCTTTGATTGCTTTCAATTTTAAAGTTGAAATAAATAATTACATTCGTTGATAAATATGCAAACTCCCAACGAAAATGGTCATTAAAACTTCATTATTAAAGACGGTGTGCAGAAAAGGAAAGAAACTATTTCACCAAACATTCTAAGCAAACATCTAACATAATAGCTTCCATTGCATAGGAAACAAGATCATTTTCAGCTTGATTAAAGGTTTCAAGAAAATCCGTTGTTTCTTCCATAAGGTACAGTCATTAGGTGTTTCCTTGTTTAAGGTGACTTAAGACACTCGCTAAGATACTTTGTGACAAATGAAATGGAAAAACTCAAAGGATGCTCCAGATTATGTCTAGAGAAAAGCTTGTTCAGGAAAATAGAAACGTATGTTTGCTAATGCCACGCATAAATTTGGCCTTAATGTCCTTTGTACATTAAGGGATAAAGCCATATATTTGGATTAATTGTCATTTCATTTTATATATCTTAAATCGCTCTCAGTATATGCCAGTGAATACTTTGAATGCTTGGCTACCTTGGACAACGATTGCTGTGTTTTCCATCTCATATCAAAATTTGTTGATCCCGTATTACTTAAATTATTTTTCTTTGCTTAAATTCAAGAAGGCTTTTCCCAGATATCATTCTTGGTTTCAAGAAAACAATTGCAAGAAGCCAGTCGCAATTACATTATTCCGAATCGACTTTTACTTAAGGTGTTTCAACTGAATTTTCTGTAGTTGCAAAGACTTTTACTCTAAAAGAATATCAGTCGATAGGTGCTAGTACACTTCGTGAGCAAAAGTATTTCACAGGCTGAAACAGGGATAAAGGTACTGCAGCAAACTTTTTTAGCGAACAAACTCCAATGGCCACAGCAAATTTCGTAAAATTTATAATGTGACTTTTTAGTTGGAAAATATCAGAAAATTTACCAAGGTTTGATACTAAAAATAACATCTTTGCACCAATTCTCGATATCTTCTTAAATTGAACTCGTGGATACTTACTTCATGCCTAGGTGTCTAGATCCTCCATTTTCCTCATTATTGTTGGAGAATATGCTAAACGTGTTAGTGGGAAATTTTCGGAGCTGCAATGAGCCTAATCATAGCGGCTGCTTCGTGATATGTTGCAACAGAATTCGATCAAGAAAATGTGTCACAAATCGTCAAGTTCATCTTTTCCAACGAATTGCGATATTTTTAAGGGAACAAATAATGCTGCAAATTGCTTAAAACAACATTTCGTCTTCTCATTAAATGAAAAGAACAAAATTTCTTGTGTATTAATACATCGCCTGTTGTTACTCTCGGAATGTCTTCTAACACTTATAATTTCTTCATATGCCCACGCTGTTGTGTAAGACCATCTGAGGATGCAATTAGGAACCTTTGGTTTGGTGGTGAAAACGAATAAATAGTGCAGCTTTCTGAGAAATTTTGGTATAAGATGACATAAAACTTTCTTTCAAAAGCATATGAGAGGCAAAAGCAATATTCAATATCATTTATAAATGACATGGCCCACATTGTTGCTGATTTGGCAACAGAAATTTTGACGGTTTCTTTTCACCAAACGAAGGCCGTGCTGCAGAGGCTACTGAGGAGAACGTTCAAATGGCGAATGAAGGAGCCCTGCAGCTATCCTTTCCTTGGATTAATTCATCAGCAAAGCAAGGAAATGATGCAGATGCTAACTGTCATCCAATCACCGGTATTGCGCACCATTTGGCCCTTTTTGACCGACTTCATGAGAGAAACAGCTCTAATGAAGTTGAGACACTGCGAAAAATAGCTTGTATTAATGAGCTCTGTGGTCAAATTGCAGAACAAATTCACGGCTCATTCAACCTAAACAGATACTTTCTCAATCATTGATTTGACAAACGAAACCAGGAACCGGCAAGTTATTTCTGAAATGGAAAAAAGAACGAGACTTGTTGCTAAATACGACAAATTTGGTCGTGCAATTCTTGCTACGCGCAATTCTACCGTCTCTTGGTGGCGGAGCGAAAAAAGCTAGATTCTGATTTATTTTGATCAAGATAATGTGTTACCAATCTGATTACACACGTATTTGATATTAAATTTCATCTAAACTTGAGAAGCGGCGCATTTTGGCAAGTTTTCCCAAATTCGACAGAAGGGGTACACGGAGCCGACCCTTCCAGAGACCAAGTCTTTACCGTCTCTTGGTGGCGGAGCGAAAAAAGCTAGATTCTGATTTATTTTGATCAAGATAATGTGCTACCATTTCGATTACACACTTATTTGATATTAAATATCATCTAAACTTGAGAAGCGGCACATTTTGGCATGTGGGCCATTGGAATATCATTTTTAGAAAAATTCTTGCAATGACATTGAACAAGCAGGTAAAATAGTTTTTGGTAATGATTGTTTTTGCAGACAAGATATTGAGGAAGAAAGCTCGGGAATGTTACATAATTTACTTCTTGTACCAGGGTGTTAAAACCAGTGGCGGATTTAAAGGGGGGTGGGGGGGGGGTAACTAGGTGCAGTTGCCCCTCCCTCACCGAGTTGAAACAGGTCTGGCGCCCTTTTTCAGCGCCCTCACTACTTACTGCCCCTCCTTCAAAGTTTTTCTCTGGATCCGCCCCTGCTTGCACCTTTAACTAGTTTTTTGACAAAGGTTTTGCGCGTAATCAAGAATCCACTTAACAAATTTAAAATGCTTTGCTTGAGCTATGCTTGAGCTATGCTTGAGTACTGAATTGGACAACTGGGCTACATATTGGAACTGTCAGACATTTGATTACTAAACTCAATATAGTGATCAGGTTTACTACGGTTGTTCTGGATACTGAGCAACAAATGCAAAAGGCGTTGCCTGAAGGCATATAGCAGCATTTATGGTTGACAACGATGCGGCCAAAATATCCCCCAAGAGTTTTTATCAAACTTAAATAGGCACGAACTCACAAATGGTCGTATAATTGATAAAGGTCCACACCCCTGACCCAGTCTAACCAGCAATGTTGCTTCACTTCATCAGTGCAACTGCTTACCTCTTTGAAATATCACTGAAGGATCTTTGTAGTGATTCCTTCGCTCTTAATTCGTTATTTTGTACCTTGCTGTCATCAGATTTTGTGTTTCATATGGCTCGGAATATAATTAAAATGTCTAATGGTATATCATTTAATATGATTAAATTACAAACATGAAGTGTTGGTAGAGTAAAGACAAGATTTGCTGTCAGACATTTGCTGAAACTTAAGATTTAAGATAGCGACAAAAACCTGCTAATGGCATTATTGAAAAGGGCGGAATATCATTCTGAAAAAGGGTGCTGCTCTAACCAAAAGCAATATTGTGCATCAGAAATATCAATTACTGCACATTACTTCTGTGGACTTACTTGCTTAACAAACACAACACCAGTACAATCAACTGCCTTTTAACATTAAAACTTTGTACAAACCTTGGCTAAGCTAGCACTGTGGTTCGCAGGGTATGTCATGTTATTTGTTTGGTCAACGGTCCATGTCATGTACACCCCACGGAAGTGGGAGCCTTCTGCTAAGCACAGTGCTAAAAAGAGCGTCAAAAATTGTAACAGCCGCATCGCTTCTTGTCTTCTAGCCACGAATGATTTCGTTGGAGCAGATGGAGTCTTTTCTTTCGGAATATTTGGTCATGCGTACAAGTCC